GTCTATCTATGAATAATATTTGAATCTTCTTTGAATTCTTTTATGTATGATTGGTTATTTTGCAAGTCTCTTTGAATTATCAATTTGGTTTGGCCTACTAGATTGGTTGTTCTTGGCATGGGAGAAGTGCTTAGCTTTGGGTTCAATTTTGCGGTGTCCTTTCCCAGTGATAGAAGGGGCAGCAAGGCACGTATTGTATTGTTGCCATCGAGGATAACAAGATGGGGTTTTATCATATTGCATGAAACTATCCCTCTACATCATGTCATCTTGCTTAAGGCATTACTCTGTTTTTAACTTAATACTCTAGATGCATGCTGGATAGCGGTCGATGAGTGGAGTAATAATAGTAGATGCAGGCAGGAGTCGGTCTACTTGTCTCGGACGTGATGCCTATATACATGATCATACCTACATATTCTCATAACTATGCTCAATTCTGTCAATTGCTCAACAGTAATTTGTTCACCCACCGTAGAATACTTATGCTCTTGAGAGAAACCACTAGTGAAACCTATGGCCCCCGGGTCTCTTTTTCATCATATCAATCTCCATCACTTTATTATTGCTTTGCTTTTACTTTTTACTTTGCATCTCTATACCAAAAATACCAAAATTATTATTTATCATCTCTATCAGATCTCACTTTCGTAAGTGATCGTGAAGGGATTGACAACCCCTAAGCGCGTTGGTTGCGTTGAGCTGTTGTTTTTGTGCAGGTACGAGGGACTCGCGTGTAGCCTCCTACTGGATTGATACCTTGGTTCTCAAAAACTAAGGGAAATACTTACGCTACTTTGCTGCATCATCCTCTCCTCTTCGGGGAAATCCAACGAGTGCTCAAGAGGTAGCAGCGAGGTGGCGGGTGAGCCGGACTTGGCGGGAGGCGCGCGCGCACGCCGGACATGGCCGGGGCACGGGGCATCAACAGGCGGGGAGGGGGAACGACGGACGCGGCGAAGCAGCAGCGGGCTGCGACGGAAGCCGAGCGCGCATGCGCGAGGGCGAAATGCGGTAGACGGAGGTGGGCGCTGCAGCAGCGGGCGCGCAGGTCGGCGATGCAGCAGCAGTAGCAGGGGCGAGCAGGAGGTAGGCAGTGGGTGCGTGCGGGCACGGCAAAAGTTGGTCCAAGGCATGCGGGAGCAAGGCGGTGGAAGCGGGCGCCAGTGACCGATGCGGCATGAGCGCGCGGGGCATCTAGCCAGCAGGGGCGCGAGGGGGCGCGGACGGGCGTGGTCGGCGCGCGGTGAGCGCAAGCGCATGCATGCGGAGGAGGAGCGGGGCCGCGACGAGCAGAGCTAGGGCGCGAGCGGAGCGAGCGCGCGTGAGCGACGGTGACCGCGGGGAAGGTGGAAAGGGGGGCTCACGGGATGGTGTAGGGGTCCGGACAGCATGGGTTGAGGAGAAGGTTGTAGACGTCATTCTGGCAGGGAGGCAGGCCGTCGTGGTGGCTCCGGGCGGCGATGGACGAGGGCGAGGCGGCGGCACATGGCGGCGTCATGCCCCGATCCGATCTGGATCGGGGGAGGGGAGAGCATCGTGGGGGAAGTGGGGAGTGGGCTAGGGTTTGACCGGGTGGAGTGGGGGGTTACTGAGAGTGGGGGTGGCCGGTTGGGCCAGCCTGGTGGGCCGAAACCCTGTGGGGGGGTTGCTTTTCATTTTTTTTGTTAATTTTGTTTTTTGTTGTTGTTCTTTTCCTTTTTCTGTTTTAATTTAAGTTCCTCTTTTATTTTAGTTTTATAAACTATAAAAGTAGTGCCTACTTTAGTGTTAATAAATAGTCTACTACCACATAAGTTTAGGCAACTAAATAAAATAGTTTAATATTTTATTTAATGTAAAAGGCATTCAACTAATTGTTTTTGCTATTGTTTAAAACGTTTTAGAGTATTTTACTCTTTTATAAAAGTGTGGTTTCTTCACACACGTTTAGTATAGATTAATTGACACAAACCGAACATTCTAATATTAATGTTTCAAAACTTTTACCTATTGACTTTAATTTGAAGTTTAATTCTGAACCGGTTTTGAACTAACGTGAGGTTAACAATAGTAAACGAGGCAACGTGGCATCTTTAACAGAGGTTCACTGTAGCTTAATTATCCGGGCGTCACAGTACCATTAGCATAAGAAGCCAAGGTTTTATTAGCATTAAATTTGCATGAAAAGGGAAGGCGTGGAGCGTTCATCCTAAAGCAACAAGTATAATCATATCTTAAGCATAGCTCCCGAGCATACCAATACAACATATGAATTTGATCCCATGATAACTTCCCTTTTTATGTCAAGCGATAATCTCTAAAGTATTCACGTTGATCAAACGTTACTCCCATTATCAAGTTGAATGGGGTTTTCTCAGGATTATCAAAGTAGAGCATAATATTTTTCACATAACGAGCATCGAGGGTTTTAGGAGGTTCCCCATCTCCATGAGTAGCAAGTACCACTAATTTTTTTGATGTTTCATGTTCCTTATTCATAACTAAAGATAGAGAACAACTTAGAACAAGAAATAAAAACTAGTTAGTGATAAAGCAAACAAGCACCGACGAGAATATTCACCCCACGCTATTGCTCCGCGACAATGGTGCCAGAAAAAGGTCTTGATAACCCACAAGTGTAGAGGATCGTTTGTAGCCTTCTTCGATAAATAAGAGTGTCGAACCCAACTAGGAGTCAAAGGCAGAACAAATGTTCCCTCAAGTTCTATCGATCATTGATACAATTCTACGCACACTTGACGTTTGCTTTACCTAGAACAAGTATGAAACTATTTTGCAAGAATAAAACTATGAGTACTTTGCGAGAATAAAAGTACGAATAAATTGCATGGTAATAAAAGTGGATAGCTTTTGTCAACAAGAAAGTCATTTGTCCCTAGACAATCGATAACAAGTACCGGTAATCATTCTTGCAATTTTATATGAGGGAGAGGCATGAGTTAACATACTTTCTCTACTTGGATCATATGCAATTATGATTGGAACTCTAACAAGCATTCACAACTACTAAAGATCATTAAGGTCGTGAAACCCAACCATAGCATTAAGTATCAAGTCCTCTTTATCCCATACACAACAACCAACCTAGTCGGGTTTAAGCTTCTGTCACTCTCGCAACCCACCATAAGCAAATCATGAACATATTACAACACCCTACAGCGGGGATACCCCACGTTTGCGCGAGATGGAAGACACTGTAGGACAACACCATAAAAATATACAATCATACCAACCAAGATCATGATTAACCCACAGGACAAAACAGATCTACTCAAACATCATAGGATAACCATAGATCATTGGGAATTAATATATGGAGTTGAGCACCTTGTTTAAGTAGAGATTACAGCGGGGAGAAGGGGTGTTACACCGCTGCATAGAGGGGGAGAAAGTTGGTGTTGACAGTAGCAATATTGTTGATGTAGATCGCCGTCCTAATCCTTGCCCCGGCGGCACTCCGGTGGCACCGGGAGAGAACACCTCTCCTTCTTCTTCCTTGGCCTCCCCTAGATGGAAGGAGAGTTACCCCTCTGGTCCATGGTCTCCATGGCGGTGGAGGGGCGGGAGCCCCCGTCCCTTCGAGATTGGATCTCTCTTCGTTCTCTTCTGTTTCACGCTCCCCAGATCTGGCCGAAAACCGTTTCTTATATTCTCAGAGATTAATAACTCTGATTGTGCTGAGATTTTAACATGATTTTTTTTCCGGATATAAACTTTCTTGTGCCCGAAGTAGAGCTCGAACCGACGTATGAGGTGAGCACAACCCACCACCACGCGCCTGGCCCCTGGGGCGCACCCTAGTGTCTTGTGCGCTCTGTGGGCCTCCGTTTGCGATGATTCCAACTCCCCAAAAATCACATATATTCCAAAATAATTCTTTGTAAAATTTTATTGCATTTGGACTTCGTTTGATATGGATTTTCTGTGAAACAAAAAACATGCAACAAACAAGAACTGTCACTGGGCACTAGATCAATAGGTTAGTCCAATAAATTATATAAAAAATTGTCAAAAATATACAAAACTTGTATAATATTGACATGAAACAATCAAAAATGATAGATACGACGGAGACGTATCAATGTGCGGGCTGGCCAGACTTGCGTCCAAGGGCCGAGGTCACGGCCAGAGGGTTGCGGTCACCGACAGGCCGAGCTCGCAGTCGGAATTGTTGGTGTCAGACCACACAGAATTGGTGTGCAGGATGGCCGCGCTCGTGTGCAAGGGCGAAGGTCATGGCCAGGATGGTGGGAGAGGGCCGTTGGAGTCAAGCGTTGGGGGCAGGCAATGGAGAGCTCATCGGAGATGGTGGATGAAGCGGAGGTAGTCATTGCAGTTGGTTCGCGCGAGAAGAACGAGAGATATGTATTTCTTTTATTGCATCGGAGCAGTTATACTTGCTTCGGTTCTCAGAATTTTTGTTATGCCACTGAGGTCTTGTATAATGAGAGGTGCTTAGAGAGATGCTTAGAAAAATAAACCGAGTTTTTCTGAAGCACTGGTGTCTATTTCTACAGGAGAGACGCTTAGTTAAGCGTCTATCCTGTATAAATAAGCATCGGTGATTAAGAAAAGTCTGATTTATTTCTCTAAGCACCTCCCTAAGCATCTTTCATTATACCAGGCTTGATTAGACAATGGAGGGCACCGATGCCAAATAAAGTAAAAGTCAACTTGGCATCGGTTTTGGCCTACATAGACCTTCCAGTCCCTTCCTCTCTGTTAAAAAAATGAGGGTGCCAAAATGTACTTAAACAATCACAAGTAGCCACATTTGGAGCATTCAGCTATAAAAAAAATCACAACTAGCCAGCATCCAAAGAAAATAGAACCTACCACCAAGAACAATACTCATGCTCACAATATTGTTTGCCCACAATTGCATCAAGCTAGCTAGCCGGCCAAAATATATTAAAAAAAAGGTATGCATTGGTTGCAATCAAAAGTCAAATGTTCGAAGATGCTTTTCTTCACCATAAAGTGCCGCAGATGATGAAATGATCGGCATATATGCAAATCAAGCAAGGCTATATCTCGAGATGGCAGCGGAGCCTCTCTCCAATGGCGCCGCCCACCAGTCAGTGCCTGGACGCTACATACTCCCCGTGCACCAGAGGCCGTCTTATTCCGGGAATGGCAAGGTGGCGCCGCCGATGCTGCCTGTAGTTGATCTCGGCGGAGACGATGACGGCAGGATCGCCGAGGAGATCATCCGCGCGGGGCGGGAGTTCGGTTTCTTCCAGGTGGTCAACCACGGCGTGCCGGAGGAGGTAATGGGCGCCATGATGCGCGCGGCCGAGGAGTTCTTTGGACTGCCGGCGGATGAGAAGATGGCGTACTACTCGACCGACGGCAAGCAGCTCCCGCGGTTCCACACGAGCGTCCGGAACGGCGCCGGCGAGGAGTTCCTGTACTGGCGGGACTGCCTCAAGCTCGGCTGCCACCCGCCGGAGTGGCCGGACAACCCGCGCGGGCTCGGGGCGGCGCTGGAGCCGTACACGGCGGCCGTGATGGCAGCGGCGCGGCGCGTTCTGCGCCTCGCCGCCGTCGGGCTGGGGCTCTGCGAGGAGCACTTCGAGGGGCCGCTCAGCGGCGGCGCGATGATGAACGTGAACCACTACCCGCCGTGCCCGGACCCGAGCCTCACCCTCGGCATCGCGCCGCACTGCGACCCCGGCCTCGTCACCGTGCTCATGGAGAACGTCGGCGGTGGCCTGCAGATGCTGCTCCACGACGACGGCGACGCAGGCGGCGGAGGAACGATGTGGGTGGACGTGGACGCCGCGCCGGGGGGGCTGGTCCTCAATTTTGGGCATCAGATGGAGGTGGTCAGCAACGGGCGCCTGCGCAGTGGCGAGCACCGCGTCGTCACCGGCGCGCGCGTCGCGCGGACCTCGCTGGCCTCGTTCGTGTGGCCCGAGCTTTGGTGCACCGTCGCGCCGGCGCAGGAGCTGGTACTGGCCCCAGGCAAGGGGCCTCTGTACAGGCCCTACTCCTACGGCGAATTTCTCGGTGTGTACGTCGCCGAGGCTGGGGACAGGGACGCCATCATGGCGCATTTCAAGCACTGATCACTTGTCGGCTTAATTTTCTTTACAAGCATTTTTCCTATAATAATTCTTCTTGTATTACTCAAGAAGTTTAATGGTTACAATCTCGTATTACTCCCTTCGTTTTTTATTTAGTCTGTGTATTAACTTTGATCAAAGTCAAACTTTGTAATAACAAAGTTTATAAACAGAAGTATTAACACATCAATACCATTAAATTCATTATTGAATGTATTTTTACTTCATATAGATTTGTTATGATAATTGTTTATTCTTTTTATAAATTTGCTCAAACTTTACGAAGTTGACTTTAATCAAATTTAATATGTAGAGTAAATAAAAACAAAGGGAATACAATGTCTATGACGCCTCCTAGCCTTGAACCAAGCCACACCATGGTCTGGCATTGGGTTCTACCAAAGTTTATCATTTAATGACGACCAGGTCTCAACGTCTTACAAGTTTAATCTCGTCTTACAAGGTCGTACTTTTGTATTACTCACATTGGTCGTACTGCTAATTATGCTAGTCAACTAGTAAGATGTCCGTACTACGCTACGGAATGACAAAAGATGAGGAACAACACAAGAATGTACATTTATCAAATTGATGTCATATAGTTGATAGGCACACATCTAGCACAATCAAACATACGGTTTCCATCCGATAAAACGCTTCTTATAAACCAAATATTTAGATCATACACCGATTTCTCATCAAACCTACAAAAAAATGGAAAATCGGCAAACATAAATATTTGCAAATGACGTGGGTCAAATAGTAGTCAAATAACTACAGGAGAACATCTTTGCAAAAAATGACAAAATGTTAAACTGCAAGTGGCCACAAGGACACATATTCCTTAAACTAAAATACATCTACTCACAACCAGAATGCACTAAACATGCTAAGTTGCAAAATTTATTCTAGCGGTTGTTGCCTACAAACTCGAAATAGTATTCAACATTAACACAATGGTATTATTTTTTGAGGGGAATCTAAATCTGCCAATAGACTACATAATGTGGCTCCATGCCGAGCACTTGGTCTAGTCTCCGACCATGGTATGCCAGCCCACGACATGGTGTGTTTGGGCGACTATCTGCAAAATGAGAGTCAGATAAGATTTTCTCCGCCAGGAAGCTAAACTAATTAAGATATACTTCTTTGAAAACATTTCCAACAATTATGCCGGTTCATGTAGGTATATGAGTAAATCACATAAGCAGTATTGGGGATGAAACATGTGCGCGCGCATCTCCCTGCGGATGGAATCGCAGGGCGAAGCATGGAGGTAGAACACATCAGCATCGGTGCGGACGACGCGGGGTGTTGTGCCAGTGTGACTGCGCCACCACGGCAGCACTTATCCCTGGAAGCCGAGAACTGAGACATGGCGGACTCGTCATGGTAACATTTAAAGTTCAGAGCTTGTAATGCTCGTCAGAGTAAATGTGGGATACTCCTCATCTCCCACAAACGCTGGTGATGTCCATGAGCACGCAAGGGACACAACCAGTGGGAGACGGGTGTTGGCGTACACACCATTAAGCAATCAAATTTGCAAAGAAGGAAAATCTTATCAAACCATATAATTTGGAGACTGAATGAAGACCAAACCCAACACCAGGGATATTCAACGTAGACGTTCTAGATAAAATACTTCATGTAACAACTTTCATAGAGATCCATCACAGGAATTTCTTCTTCTCTTTATTTCATCCCCTAAAACAAAGCAGTATAAACAAAGTACTAAATTTCCCAAATGAACCACACCAGTAACTTGTTCTTCTCTCTATCTCTTCTCCTAAATCATTTAGACAAAGAAAGAATAACTGGATAATATTTAGATAGAAACATTCCTTTCTTATCTAAGCCACAAATGCATAATGCAGAACCAGTCTGTATTAGAGGGTGGAGATGGAGAAAGCTCACCGGCTCATATCACCAAGAGGAGGACCGCCTATGGTGTATGGGGCTTACATCTAATATATCATGATCAAAGTCTTCTCACCATTGCCAGCTAGATTACGTATCTAAGTAGTGGCTGCCACTGTATGGCCACCAGACGCTATGGCTGCAGCACCGATCCCTTGTCACCATGCTCACGAGTACCTAGCAGCATACATATCTACAAATCATGAGCAGTACCTAGTAGCAGCAGTTGTAATCAGTAAGCAAGTAATAGCATGAACAAAACCAGTAGAAGCATGGAAATAAGCGCAGCAGTAGGCTGCTGCTTTCCTCCATGATCTCTTTATATATATGCAATAGCAGTATATCAGGGTAGAGCAGCAAAATTAACAATAGCCATCCCAGCGTTCACGCCCTCCTCTGCACGCAACCGCTCCCCAATGTCCACGCCCGCTACCCGACCGTTTTCTTCCTCTGCCCCCAAGAACGCATGCTCAGCGTCCCGCCCAGCTCAAGATCCACCTCGAGCACCGGGAGAGAGGAAAAGGGAGGAGAAGGAGGAGCTCCTGCACGCTGCCCTAGCGTTCAGGCGCACGCGCGCACACATATAGCACACGCTCCATAAATCCAATAGCGACGCCTCACGCGCGCTGGCATGGGGAAGGCAACAAACGAGAGTGGTGCAAGTTATGAATTCATCGGTGATAGGATTAGTGCCATCGTGGGCGGCGGGCCGACGACCGTGGAGGCGGGGATGGGCTCGATCCGGCCTCTCACATCTGTGTGCTCCTTCGGGTTGGGACCGTGTTATCTGCTGGTGTGGAGATGCGGGGTGGGGGATGGCTGGGGCAGTGGGAGCATTCCACCGGCGGGGGAGAGGATGGGCTCCGGTGGGAAGAGATAGGGTGGACGGCAGCGCTCAACCTTAGATTTAAGACCGAACGGTACACATGGCCCGAAGGCAGGCACACCATCAACACCAACTCCCATTTTTATAAGAGTAGAGATAGAGATATATGACAAACTTTGATAGAACCCAATGCCAGGCCGCAGTGTGGCTTGGTTCTGGAAGAGTGGGCATCATAGACACTGTAAGATGATATTGTAACCTTTAAACTTCTTGAGCAATACTGTACAAGAATTATGGGAACGAATTTACTTCAGCAAAATTTCTTTTCACGGTATCAGGAAAGTTTTCTAAGTTGTTGTGAACAGGTCATGACTTAGATGATTAGATTTCTTATGATGAAGTGAACGATGTTTGTGTAGGCTGAGACTTAGGACATCTTCAATGTGAATCCTCAAAACGACTGAAAACGTCTGAGCCAGATGTACGGACTTTGCAAGCCACCCAATGCGGTACCCCATCGTTCGCCTGTCTGAAGTCCCGTAAACTGAACGCAAACCAGGGGAGATTTGCAGGAGTTCAGACGTCTGCCACGTACGTGCCTAAACGCCACATCCCAACCAAAACTCGGTCCGTGCTCTAGAAACTCTCTCCATGCGAAGCGGTTGCCACACATTCATGCCGATAAAGCCGCTCCAGAACAGGCGTGACTCCACGACATTGATGCCGGTCAAAGCGACGAGACCGTACGAGCGGGCGACGTTGCTTCAGGGTCAACGCGGCGACCGAGAAGCCTGCTCGGGCCAGTGCGCCACATTGAAGCCGGGTGCCCATTCATTCGCCTGGCCACGACTATTTAAGCACAGCTCCGACGCCATCCACACCAAATGTCCATCTCCGCTCACATCCTCTCCTCCCCTGTATCACCGCTGATCCGCTCTTCTTCATCTCTGCACCATCGTCGACGTTGTCAAAGTCTTGGTTCTCCGTGCCGGCAGGAGGTGGATCCGAATCTCCTTCTGGATCGTGCCGCCACCGCCGTCGATTTCCTGTTCCATCGTCCTCCACGGCTCCTGGTTCCTTCGGGAAGGAGGAAATCATCTTCTTCTCCAGTGATGAGGAGTTGGAGCTGCAGCCACGCCTCCTCGCGGAGGCCACGATGACCAATGAGGAGTACCAAACGCACCCGGAGCTCCTTCTCGAGTGGTCGCTCAGGGACTGCGGTCCGACACCACCCTCGCCACCTCTCCACCACGTCAAAGGTGGTCGCCACTGCGTCAAGGTGGAATCTCCCTCTCCTCAGTGCAACCGCGACGTCCAAATCCAACGCTAAGTGAAGGAGCCGGCGTCGCCAACGCACAACCGGTATGCCTGCATTGATAAGATCGCATCACCTCTGCGCCATGTCTGGCACGACAACGCCGTGAAGGACGAGGATGAGGTGCCCCTCATGATCTCAAATACATCGGCGGTCGTGGCTGTGGCGACTCCTCATTTCGGGAGATCGTGTCAGCAGAGGGGAGTGCGGCTAGGGAGGCTACGCGGACGGAGCAATGCAATGGGGCGTACCTAGTGGCGTTCGTGAAGTCTGACATTGTACCGTCCTAGGTCCTCTCAGAGGCCTGTGCCCATGACCAGTTGGTGACCACCGTGTAGATGACTGCTCCGCCTCGACATAGAGCTGTTGGTTAACGTAGTAATTTCAAAAAAATTCCTACGCACACGCAAGATCATGGTGATGCATAGCAACGAGAGGGGAGAGTGTGATCTACGTACCCTTGTAGATCGACAACGGAAGCGTTTGGTTGATGTAGTCGTACGTCTCCACGGCCCGACCGATCAAGCACCGAAACTACGGCACCTCCGAGTTCTAGCACACGTTCACCTTGATGATGATCCCCGGACTCCGATCCAGCAAAGTGTCGGGGAAGAGTTCCGTCAGCACGATGGCGTGGTGACGATCTTGATGCACTACCGTCGCAGGGCTTCGCCTAAGCACCGCTACAATATGACTATGGTGGAAGGGGGCACCGCACACGGCTAAGAATATGATCACATGGATCAACTTGTGTGTCTAGGGTGCCCCCTGCCCCCGTATATAAAGGAACAAGGGGAGGAGGCCGGCCGGCCCTATAGGCGCGCCAAGGAGGTGTCCTCCTCCTAGTAGGAGTAGGACTCCTACTAGGAGGGGGAAAGAAGTGGGGAGGGAGAGGGAAAGGGGGGCGCCGCCCCCCTCTCCTAGTCTAATTCGGACCAGGGG